CCACCTAATACATTTAAAGGCAGAGCGATCAGTGGGTTCAGCTTCCAGCAACAATGGCAGAATTGTGGTCCTCGTTGCACTCGAAAAAGCGATGCCGGAGAAGGACACGACGCGTCGCGGTGTCAGAAAAGAGGGCATCGAGACGGGCGAAAGATCGGACGGTCGTAACTCAGTGTTGCTGCGCTTGCATCGGTAGCGAGAAAGATGACTACGCTTGCCCGTTGTACCCAAATTTCTTTTCCGAGATTCTGCCGTCTCGTCACGAATCGTTTACCGTTGCGCCTCCGTATATCCTTCTCGCTCATCCAATTTAATGAATGTGGCATGGAGGGGATATAATGGGGCCACACAATAGCTTCTACATGTGCCTCCAGACGAACACGTGATGCTTTTCGCAGTTCGTTTACTCGCTCCTTCCACACCTATGCATGGTATACAGAGATGCTTATATCTCGGTGACACTCGACGGTTCTTGAAGATAAAACCTTTATCCGTCTGTCGGCCTCAACTCTTTGCTACAGTTCTACTGTATGTGTATTATCATGTATGTGCGTGCTGATGCAAAAATCTAGCACCATATAGTGCGTTAAAAACGATTAGGAAGTCATAGCTTGACGCTACAAAACGTTACAAAGCGATACCCTGCCACATTTATGGGTCAGTTTGTGGCAAAGGAAATAAAGTATTTGTCGAGTTGGCTCTTCTTGTCCTTGTTATCAGTACTTTATATTTACGCTATCTCTGTGATCACTACTATGCGTTATATATTCGCATTAGTCATCGTATGCTCTACCAGAACCAAAGTCTTTCATGTTCTCTACGAGACAGTGGCCTTGCATGTTGATCAGATACAAACGTTTGCGGATGCGTACCACATTAATATGGTTGCATTTCTGTGTGACATTAACAAAGTGGGTCTTAGACTTATTGTGTTACTTGTTACAGTGGTACCGCCGCTATTGCAATGACGATTATAGCAGCTATTATCATGGGGGAAGATTCTTACTTCGGTGCCGGAACGAAAGCAGCTGTTAAAAAAAAGCTGGCTGGCAGACGATGCTGGGTCGGTTCGTTTATTAGGTTAGGAGCTTGAACAAGCTCGTTCCCGTGCGTAACGCACGCGCAAACCACAATGTGTGATTCCTTCACCAATGCTGCTTAGATAGTTAACACCTTGACGCGTCTGTTCTTAGTGCGAAAAAAACGATTACTTGTGATTCGCCGGATGTCAGAATGAACCGGGCCAAACAGGCCAAGATCCGGACGAGCTTCAAACTAGGAAAAATCGTACGCGCAAATCCCGCTGCCTTTAGGCTATGAGGCGATTTGGCTATGGACACCTAAAAGCAAGCCGTTGAAAATAGTGTTCCTATGCTATTAGAGTCTTGAAATAGCTTTCGAAAGGAGCGCGACTGTGGCGAAAGCTATGTAGATGTAGTTCTGAGGAATGAGAGCATTATCTCATAAGCGCGATGGATTTTTGTATAAAATAAGGGATATCTGAGAAGTGATCCTTGGCCGTAAATTTAGTAGGTTCTGTGTCGTTATTGCTGGTTGAAAAATTTTTATATTGAATCTTATTTATGCATTGTACACTGAAAACCCCCGCTTGAGAAAGAAGGAATAGCAATCGCGCTTCCTCACTTATCAGTAGAAATGCAGGCAAATTGTGGATAGAATGGCTTAGCGAACATTGAACCCATGCGCGATATCAGGCTGGCCTAATTTCCGCTATGCAGTTCTATATGAGACCATATTTTCCGCGCCCGATGCGTTAAACCAAAAGAGTAGGTGTAAAATCGCGCTATTAAAGTAACGACTCAGGCATATTGCCGACCGGCATGACTATCTTCTAATTGACCTCGTGCATTCCACCTATATTTGTTGTTACAATTTATATATGTCAAATGTTTGTGCGGCTCATTTGAAGAAATACCCTGCGTTTATGATATTTTTAAAGTGTGACACAACGGGCTCGTGAACGGGGACTTATCGCAGAGAACATCGCATTATATGGCTGTTCAGTGAAACTATTCGAACACGTTTTGAACTATAATGTATATCAGTGTATATTTACTGGTTCTATACAAACTTACTTGAATGTGTGTTTTCTTTTTGCGAAAGATGAGGCACGAATGTCCTGTTATTTGCTTGTTTCAATCAGACTCTAGAGGCATGGAACGGGCTAACACGAGTAGGACGGTACAAAGCACCTCCCATTACCAGCGCTGCTAGCAACGGATTATGACGGGGATAACCCAGCTAGAACTCTTGGGAGAATTACAGAAAGGTAGCAAAAATAGCTCCGCATTATCGTACACACATATCGTCTCCTGCAGTATTGAAAATCTATTCACTGTCAAGCAGTTAGATAAATAGCAGCCGCCTGCTAAATACCTTGGGGCTGAGTAAAAATGCAAATAACATGGCAAGATCAGACTGAATCCATATAAGAAATAGCCATTTCTCAATTTATTTAAATAATATTAGATTAAATAAAATAATATTATAATATATCGAGTGTTATCGCACCTTCATTGATGACGCTGCGGACATTATTACTTCTGTAGAAAGAAATTACGTCTGAATACGTTAATTAAGCAATCAGCGTCAACTTCAGACAACGGTCTGCACCACAAATGCGCATGACAGATTTTGGACCTTTCTGCATATACGCATAGGAAAACAAGTATATAGGACAATACCCAAATAGTGATCCGAATAGAAGAGGTTTCATATGTAAGCGCTCGCAAATAATTACTATTGTTACCCATACACTGCTCGCAGTTTATCTGTCGATAGGCCATTATCCTACAAACCGTGAACGTTTTTAACGGTGTTACTGTCGCTTTTACAGATTGTCTATTACACGTACGCAACTACAACTGGGTTGCATGTTGTCTACGTTGAACATACTACGCGTATTTACGAATGGCTTTTAAACGATGGAGTTATGCGTCCAGCGTGAAATATCTGCTCCTTCTTTCTTTCATAAGTCCATGAGGTTGATATTGATAAGTAAATTATATTTAAACTGTACTAAGACCCAGCAATAACAACTACTCAACAGTTTCCTTTGTTTTTATTGCAATGAATTTTTCAGGATTTTGAGAACCGCTCTCACCGAAATCAGATCGAGTCACGCTAGATAAGCATTGCTCCCCTGTTCCGCATCGTGCGTAAACAGCATTACTTAAACCCTTCTGAAACATAAAACAAACCTATTGTTTCAATTTTGTCGTAAGGCGCAAACAAACGATACTTCCAGTGTTTCCTGTTACGCTAAGAAAAATGCAAAAGATCGGTTGACGATAGTAGAATCGCATTGGAGCAACAGGCAAGATTAGTACTCGCCGCACGGACTTCGTTTGTCATACCAACGAACGAACCCAATCGCCAGAAGCCGCTACACATCGTCATCTGGGTCATAATACGACCTATAAAACCTAGACCCATTCAAGTAGAGCAGCATACACTTTGTGGGGGATACAGGTGAAAGAAGAAAAAAAGCGAATTAGGCAGCAAAAGATGGAGTTAAGATATTGGGTGAGTCAACAAACCAAGGGGCAGCTAGAAAAGTAAAGCCAAGGCAAACATCCGATTCATTGGGTAACTGTTACATAGTCAGCTGTCTATCGATCAGCCAACTAACTATAGCTGGTCATGCCCTCGTCAAATGACAGCTGGGGCGAGCAGTCGGTCAACGGGAATAATAGAGGAGGACTAGTAAAATGGGCAAAACAAGAGTAGAAATGCAGATGATTATTGCGTGGAAAAAGAGGCGAGAACAGGCATAGAGAAACGGTAGCGAAAGGAAGAGTGATTCGATCCAATCCTTTCACCATATCAGTACCACTGCCGCTGCTGTCAGTACAGCAGTTGTATACCACTGCGTACTTTGGTCGTTTTTGCTTCTCTTCCGATGAATTCTATTGCTTCATCTGTTACTACTGCTACAACTACAACGTACTATTGTGGTCGCGATTGTTACAAGAAATGGCCAACGCGGCTCGGGTTGACCGTTCCTGTTTCTGCTACTGTCTCTTTGATGCGCCGTCCAGGTCTGAAACTCATGGCCCTTTCCAATATTATTGTCGGCGCATGCAATTAACTTGAGCGATCCCTATTTTAAAGCCTCAATCCCCAGAGTCAAGATTTCATCGGAGCGCGTCTCAAGTTCGTGCCGGACCCTCTGCCGGCGTCCTGATGAATAGGATCGGGACAGAATGCGGATGGAACACCGAGAACAGAGCAAGAAAGGACACTGAAAAAAAAACAGGCAGAGTTGGATTTCGGTGCCAGTCGGCGAAGGTTTTGTGCGTAGGCTTTTAGGCTTGCTGTTACTGCCACTCTAGCTATCTGCGCTTCTTCGCGTTACTATTTCTGCTGTGTGGTAACGCCATCGTTCACTGGTGGGAAAAGAGAATGGAGACTGGGAAATAATAGCGAGTTGCAAAATCTGCGAAGAGGCCAGCTGGAGCCGGTCCAAAACTCGCCTGTTCCCTTTGCTGTTGCTACAACGATCCGTTTTTACGACTGAACCGTATTGTCGCTGCTGCCAAGACTGCTATAATTGACGGCCCGACAGTCCTGAGGCCAGCCAAGCCCGCTCTTTTTTGGTTTGTGACTATACCAGAAAAAGGTCGAGTCGGGTCAGCTTGTCTGGCAAGATTTTTGAGAAGCGGTAGAATTATACAAATTGTGTATTCTGGAGGGTGAAAAACTCAAAAGCAATTTCAGGGAATTGCGTCTGATGCCAGAATCATTCCGCTTTCCTTCTTCATGCTCGACCGAAGGTTCACTTCAAATGTTTCCGTCCCTTTTCGACATTCTTATCCTTCACTCAGTGTTCTTCTTCAATAATTCGTTCCCTGATAGTACTGCTGTTACCTTCGGGAAACTTTGCGACTTTTCTTTCGAGCAAATATAACATTCATCGATCAACTCAGTTGGCCAGACATTAGAATTTACCGCTAGTGCGGCTGTTACGGTCGTCACCAAGAACGTTGTCACATTTCACACGTTTGGATTGTTTTATTGGTGTGATTTGATTACAGAACTTCTTCTGTGTATATTGCTCCGTTTATTTTGATAACGCTGATTGCAGAACACCTTATTTCAGCTGTTTTGGTATCGAAGTTGAGTGAAGGCTAGTTTCGAGAGTCTGCGCTGCGTGTTAAATAAGAGCACGCTTCTACGCAAACTAGAAAGTATATGAAATGAAGGTTTTTCGAATAAGAATCACAAATAATTCTGTTTCTATCCATTAAGATAAGACGAGTGCTTCGTCAAAGCGATGCTATTTCTATTCCATCAATTGATCTTATAGAACAGCCTTAGTTATTCGTGCAGTGAATGGGTTGCTTGTTATCCGCCTATTACCTTTTGCAGGCCAGGAGAGAGAGAGATTCGACCGTCCTCAAACGGGAGAAAGTCAGCGCAGGGCCCTTTCGCTTCGTTCGTGCTTGCCAAACAGAACGATGGTGTTTATCGACGAAAGCATAATGTAAAATATGAAAAAGATCATGTTATTCCAACGGCGAGAGCAAGCTGTGATCAATGCGCTGACTGACAAAACTATTCTATTTTCGCTTTACTCCTAATATGCATGTACAGAGAAGCTGTGGACTGACGACTCGGATAGAAATTCTAAGCTGTGTCATGGAGCTACGTGGCTAGGTCGTTGAGCACAGATTCAATACCTCATTAACACAGCTATGACTGAGCTGGCTGTCAGAAGAACTGTTCGGTGCTCTGCAGTAGTCGACTCTGATCGCGTCTGAGCAACTCTGTTACCTAAACACAAGTGGAACCTTTTATTCATATCAAAAATCTACAGACTAGAGCAATTTAGAAGATTTCTAGTTTGATCCATTAGTACATTATCTCTATTTATTTACATTCGTTCGACGTTACAGGAGGCGGATTTACAACAAACAACAAAATGTATTCAACTACTTGAATCATAATTAAGACAAAAACAATGTTGTTCTGTGTTGACTAAGTCACTAGTAAATGAATGCGCCTGAACAAGCATGAATAAAAAATAGCAAAAATTAGGCATTATGATTTTAATATGGGTCTTACTTAACCTAAATAGCGCCCATTTAGGTTTATGCATTGATAATTATATAAGTTAACAAATTGTACATCTATGTGTACCTTATAAAATCAAGTACAAATTTCATTGTGCATTCAGTAATATCAAAAGTAAAATTTACACGTATATTTGTTCATTTTTATTTATTTCAACCTGTAATTCGTGTAGCTAGTTGAAACGAGTAATTTTTATTTCCAATTGAGAGTTCCATATAAAGGATAAAAATATTTCAATTTCATTAGCCTATTGGTATGAAAAAGTCTTATAATTATGTGACTTTTAGAGCAGACTGCTTTTTCCGACGATGTTTCCGTATTTCTCAAGCATTTTAGCGTATTCGTCCGCCGATGGTACTGATCTCATTTGTGAATGGCGAAGAACCAGGGACGGTACGTTCGAGTAGTGCATTTTTGAAAATGGTGATACCTGAAACAGGAGGTCATATTAGTTTTAAGCAATTAGTGAAAAAAACTCCCATTGGAAATTTCAAATCGCTAGGATTTGTGGAAAACTATTCGTATTGTTAATTAAGCGCCTGCCCTCCACATTCCTACGCTCCCTTTTCTTCAGGTCACACAGTCTAATACAAATACTGTTTTCGTTTTGTTATATTAGAGTCCTACCCATGCCATTGAGCTCGCAAAGAGCATGATTGGATTACCTTGATATACCGAGGCCACGAACCTCTATTCTTCATAGGTTGACGACAGAGTTTTGCTTAAGGCTAATTTACCAGCTAGTATAGTTGTATTTATTAGCCTAATCCATTCAAATTCAGCGTCCTAACAGGCCATCCTATATGACAAGCAAAGCATTTGAGTCTCATACGAATACTGAAAGTATATAGGTCAAGATTAAAGTGCTCTATTTCAATACTTTAAACATTCCCAAGCAGGGACTATTTTATTGGTAATTAAAAAGAGCCAAATAAGCCGAAATTGAGATTAAGGAAAATAACTTAGCGATTCGTCAAAAACTGGCAAGTCCGAATAGAAGCCATAATAAGTATCATCGTAGTGTTTAAAATGAACAGCCACAGAGGAACTAATTTCAGCGTAACAGGCTTCACAATAAAAACAACCTAACTTACTATTCTTGTAGCGGGTGTTTCGGGCGGCCATATTTATATCAGCGCTCGCGTATGTGATACAAATTGTATATATTTATACAGTATTTATGTGATTCGTATATGCAGTGTACGGATATTATTCATACTTTTCGCTGGCTAAAGGGATTCTATATTCGATCACATCCACAGGAATCGGGACCATTTTCCAGTCGTCCCATCCATAGGACTACGTCAATAAGTGAAGGCAATATAGAAAAGAAGGTTTGCATAGCGTGATTTTACGATGTGATTTTCCAGAGTGGAAGGAGCTGGGTGATCTATCAAGGCGTCGAGGCCTGTATACGTAAATCAATTCAGTGATTCTGCGAGATCGGTCTATTACGTGAGCTTGCACGCTTTACAACGAACCCTCTGTGCCGAAAAAAGGCCGCCAGACGTTTGTGTTTTGCAACGATTTCATAGCATTTTCCTAATCTCAGTCCAGAGTATGAACTGAGGAATGAATGAACAGGCACCATAGTAAACCAACGCGAGTTTTGTTTCGAAATAGTTAAAGCATAGAAGAATAGAATTATAAAAAAGACAATTCCGGCAGTATCTACCCGAATTCAGCAGTTATAACGATGTCTTATCATTTGAATTCTGTAACCTTAGATTGATGCTGACGTCGTGCATAATTTACTGGTAGTTCAAAATGATAAGTCATCTATTTAATGAGAATAGGTATAAATAGACGAAATATTTGGCAATTCCTTAGCTCTGTGTTTATATCTACAAGAAAAAAAAGTTCTTTTTTAAGAACCTGCCAGCTTTGTTACAATGGGGGAAACACCGAAGCATTCTAATGGCGAGTGGATTTATAAAGCACGATACGCTAAAGTACCTTATCCTGAGAATCGTCGACGTCTATTTCATCATCCAAAACAGCCGTATAGACCTTTTTCAACTGCATCTCTTTGAGTTTTTGAGCAATCTCGTCAGCCTCGAGGTCAATGTCATCATAGACGGTACAACGAGTAGATGGGGCATGTATTGAAAGCGGCATCGCGGACCTAGCGTACTCCGATCTAGGGCAGCTTAGACTCGCTTCCGAGCCCGCTGGACTTATCGTTCCTGTAGCAAAATTCCTGCAATCCAGTAGTAAATGTTTAGCGTGTCTTTTATGTAAGTCAGTTTAAATTACTTACAAACTGAACAATACGTTTGCGTGGATCAGGGGCATGCACATCGAATAGATCCGGTCTTATAACACTTGGTACCTTTTTGATGTAGAGATGGATATTTGCGGGAGTACAGGCGCATACCTGGCCACATTTGGCCGTGGTGCTTTTTCTGTGCATAAATAATGTTGTAGTTTGCGAGCAAAAGATTTCCGCACACGTGTGTCGAATGCGCTTATCGAAAGCCCTTCTAGAGAAATCTATAGCGTCGTGTTGCGTTCGTCAGTTGTTGAATTAAGCAAATGCAATATGTTTACTATCAGCAATTGTGCATACGTCGTCCTACTAAAAAGCCTTGTGGTCGCCTCTGCTTCTATTGGAACGCCTAATGGCTGTACGATCAATATCAAGATAACACAGGGGCCGCTGAAATACGGAACTTGAAATAGCCGTCTGGCCGCAAGTTCGTCCGGTGCATGCCAAACGAGTTTGCAATTTACTTGCAGTTGATCTGCTGCCCGTGCTTTTATTGTCTAGAATATGAGTTTCGTTTCGTATAGAACGAAGATTTAGCGATAACTTCATTAAATGAGAAATGCACGGCCTGTTGATATTGGTTAACGATATTATTAGGTAATTAGCAGAACAATTGCTGCGGAGGTAAGGAAACCGAGCGCCGCTTATTACAGCGAAAGCAGTGGGGCATTCAATGTATTTTTGATTATTTTGCAAGGACGCTAGTTGCTTGGATACGTTCTAGGGTTTTACTGACTCTGCAGTTCGTTTCTATATATGAACATGTATGTATGGGCTCAGCACCAAAATGCTTTACTTTTATACAGTCTGTTTCGTAACCGTAGAAAGGAAGACAAGGTCAAAAATGAGTATAATCAAATTTAGAACTTACTACGTAAGTATTGTGGTGCCAGAAAAGGGTCGTATACAAACGGGCAATGTAAAACGCTAAATACGTCACAAAGTCAGTATAAAGTCGTGACCCTACAGAGTTGCGTTCGAACAGGTGAGTGAACTCCCGAAGCCGGACGCATTGCATTAATCTGCCAGATCCCCCTAGAAACACCGAAAGTTTAGTGCAATATGTTGCATGAGTTTTTTTTTTGTACCTAATGGATATTAGGCAACTTTATGCAGGAACAAAGGTCTCTTAAGGGCTTAGAAAAATTCGTTCACTGCATGAAGGTTTTCGCTGAGCTCTTTGAACAAAAACTTCTAAACCGTAGAGCAATAGTCTTTAGTTTTACCAATGGTAATTACGTAGCCAGCCGCATTTGGTACTAGAGAGAAGAGCAACTGGTGAGTTAACCTAAACATGAACACACCCTAACATAGAAATGTAGTAAACAAAAGCATGCGCAGCAAACTGGGGTTACGCTGTAAGAAGCTTGGCCAGCGCAAGCAAATAGGAGGTAACGTACTGACTCGTTATATACTTGCCAAGCTAAACGATTCACTTCATCGCTTTGCACCACCGTCAGAGCTGCCGGTGCTCGGTTGCTCAAAGTCAGAGTTGCAACTGGGAAACTGCAGTGTTCGTCAGCGATTGGTTTTATCCGCGTTTTAAAGATTGCCTATACACATCTTCCTAATCCTGTTATGGGTTGATGCCAACCCGTTGCCATAAGTGCTTCATAATGCTGCGCATACAGATGCATGTAACGTGTTTAAATCGAAGATGCGAAAAAGATTTCCCGGCAAAGTATCGTCTTACCTAACGGAGGATTGCGGATATCACGGAGATACAGGCAAGAATCTCTGTAATTTCATCTGAGAGAAACGGTTGCTGAGGTCGCATCGGCTTCAATTCGCATGTAAGGAATCACTTGAAAAAGTAAAGGAATCCATCAAACAGTTGTGGGTGTCCCACAACGCTTACGTCATTCGTTTTTAAAGATTGACTTGGGGCAACCGAAATCAAACGTTCCCGGGACCGGTAAACAAAGGCAACTGTTGCGTCTTACTAAGTTCGTTAACTTGTGCGAGAGAAGCGCTAAAAGTCTGCTACAACTGTAGTAAGCGACGAATCTTAAAAGTTCGCGGGGGAATAAATAAAGCTATAGTCGGCTAGCCCGTTATTGGGATAAAATGTTCCGCGAAGGATCTTATTGAGTGGAACTGTCTTAGGGTTGAGGACGTCAGGAGAAAACGGTGGACGGAGCCTTATTTTAGTTTTATGATCATGTGACTGGACAGCCGCGTCGATATTTCTGATTGCCTACTCCTGAAAAGTCTGTTAAGCTAGGAATAAAACCCTATTGTACTTCCGGATGGTGTATCAGGGTATCGGTTGAACGTGTTAGAACATGTATATTGGATAGTATAATCGATTTTGTGCGGGATGTGCTTCGTAAAGGACTGTAATTCTTAAGCATTTTAAGCGATATCGATATAATAAGTACACGATCATATATTCTAACGTGAAGGCTAGGTTAGAATAAATGGCAGATTGATTATTTATGGTGATTGGGTCATTAGTTTCATCTATAGGATGAACCATGGGTCACCGGACTGTTTGAAAAGGTTCTTTAACAGAAGAGAGGCAAATGATTAGAATGAACAGTTTTTTTTTCAGCTGTGTAGCTAAATATTATGTTTATATCTGTATAACATAATATCAGTCAATAAAACCAGTCGAATTGCCACATTGCTCAGTATCTCAGATATATACTGACGCTATCACATTATAACACAGTATTATAGCAACTTGCAATTACGTAATAAACTCATATTTATCGATCAAATACGTTATATTTATGAACTTTGTCAAGTTTCCACAACGAAAACAGGTCGAGAGATAACCGTTTCGGTTTATTCATATATACCCTTAAACGCTAGTTCATATATACCTAAAGCGTTAATAGACAATTTAGAGAAACGTTACTCTATCTAGACTGCACTGTACGGACAAGCTGAAAACGTCGTAAATTTTCCTTTGTTGTTGAAATTTTACCTGCCTGAAGAGTGCTGCGTTCTATGCAAGGATCTGAAGCCCTAGAGAACTTGAAGAATCTATATATATACAGATCTAGATATGTTAGTTCTAAGCCGAGTTCCTCCTGCAGGCCCTACGCTGTAACAATATAAGAAACTTGAAGTGCTCCCCATAACTTCTATCAACTGTTTCGGCGAACACGAAGGCCCGTTTAAACGCAGTTGTTGTAAATAGGATTTAAAGCTGTGTAGTCGTCGTACCACAGGGCAGCTACTGTCTACACTCACGGTCTTGTCGGCCCGCGTGTTGGCCAGTTCACAGGTGCAATTCAGCAATTCCTACTTCTAGGATATTTGTTGAAAACTGAACTTTAGTTGGTGCGACAGGAGACCGTTGGTTCATGGGATATGACTTACTTTCAGAACCTCCGCAAACTTATAATCCAGCCTGTAGCTTCTATCTAGCTGATTAAGGGTACATAAAAATATCTTTCATGTAAATGAATGCACGAAAAAAAGAAGGTATAGTATACTGAGCTCGGTTATTGTTATCATAATTTGACAATTGGTCAGTAACGAAGCTGTGGGACGGGTGCGCGCACTGATACAAAAATTAGTAGCATTCCCTGTAGAACGTATAGAAAAATACCAGAAATTCCATCGTACCAAATGTTCAGGCTCCCTATAAGTTCGATGTAGTTTATCCAGATCCATAGAACACACATAGTAAAAGAGGCGCGTCTACTAATATATTGTCTTCGAGTCAGAAACGCAAGACAGTTGTACGACGGAAGACTTCATCACGCAATTTTACGAGAAAGATCATGTTGATTTATACAACCCACGATAGGTAAAGAAACGCTATGGCGAGGAAAAGTTGTAGGGATAATTTCTTTATTGTGATGAGCATTAGAAGTTCCGGGTCTTCTGACTCCTCAAGTTTTCGCGGTAGCGTAGGAAGTTAGAAACTCTATTGCATCGATAGGATCAGATTTCTGCTACATACATTGATGAAATATACCTCTACCAGTACAGTCATTACATGAATGTTCATATTCTAACCCTAAAAAAACGAAAACTAATTTTTATAGAGAATGAACTGTAAAGCGTTTCCAGACCTCTCGTGTATATGCTATTTGCCCGAAAGAGCAAGATCAGCTTCTACTAAATGTTAGTCGTGTAATTCTGTTACGCAGTCGTATCAGAACCGTTTGCACATTAGACTTGTGAAGTAGAAACGCTACGTTTATACCAATACATATCCCCTCTTAATCATTCCAGCAACAAGTTCTGTCACTATCCTATACGTTATCCTGAAAAAATTTCATCCTTTGCCAGTGACCTCGAGCAGCATCGCAGTGGAGAACGGCTTATGTCACATTCTTGCGCCATATGTAAAAAATATGACGTTTTCAATTTTCTGCAACGTTGACGTTTGCAATTTTAAGAATTTTCGAGCTCAGTCAGAATTTGGCAGGAGTGGTATGTGATAACGCTATGATTTTTGCCAGAACTACTTGATCAGGTCAGTAGTCAAGCGACAAGTCCGTTCGTTTGGAATGTTCTTCGGTAAGGTTCACCATATCTGTTGCCATTTTTCCACCATTGTCTCTTCCTTCTGGGCTTCAGCTTGGGTTTTTTATATTTCTGTTTGCTACACCTTGAATGTACTAGAGCAATTATGGCGTTTATAGGTGTATAGCCCTTATATTGTCACGAACCCCTGCATTTTGAATGTCTTTGTTTTTCTTCTATCACATCACGACCTGCCCCCGTGTAGGTGTAGCATATAGTATGGTGGGCTCAGTCATGGTCGCTAAGAGCCTCTTTCTTGTTTTCTGGGGCATTCTTTCCTATCGACAAGATTTTGGTACACTATCCGCTACCTTCGGTACCTCCTTGGCCGCCCCCTTTACTATCCTCGTTGCCCTCTCTGCCATTTCGTTGATGCAGAAATCACAAGAATTCGATTAGCCATAACGCCTAAGCATTGGGTTAGCTCTTTGATTTCTATCTCTACTACGTTTCGTAAGAAGGAATTAGGTTTATGGTTTTCCTTTCCCCTTACCGCACACGTCTCCACACGTTGGATCATGTTCGCTAGACCGATCTGCTTTTTACTTTCTAAACTGTAGTCTCTGCGCGTTGTAACTAGAATATCTTTGCCGTCCGTGCTCGCTACCACTGGGGCTTCTTCTACAAGCGAAAAGCTTCGAAATATTATTTTAGGCCATGTTCCATAGCGAGCGCCAAGTACCAGGTTTTGATAATTTATCTTGTCCCGTAAGCGAAAGTCCTGTTGCTAAGGTCGAACGCGATCAACCCTTTAATGTGACAAAAAATTCTTTTCCGTTTCAGCGCATTTATCATCGCCTTTTATTTGTTAAGAATGATAAGGAAAAGCGAAGAAAAATTGTACGTAACTAACCTGAGAGGGCATTTGGGCACAACCGTATTGCTGACTGGTCGATAATTGTCATTGTGAAGCCCCGTACTCTCGGGTTCACGGTGACCATCATAGCGTACCCCTGTCACCGTTGTGGGTAAGGCTACGAAGTCCATAACGTCAGCGCGAATCCGCTCGCGTACCAAATCCCGACCTTCGTTCGCTCGAAAGCGGCACTTCCACATGCTGATAAAGTATGAGCTATAATCGCATCAACCTAAATACGATTTTAGCTGCTTATGATACAGGGAGTTGTTACTTAATCCTGTCGGATGAATCGCCTAGAACACTGCAAATTCACGCAAAAATAAAACGTATAAGTCAGCTTGGTTGAGTCAGTTTTTTTGCAAGAAAATGGAACGAGACAGGACTTGTTGATACGTCAGTGCAATCAAAAGATTCTATTTTCTACCCCATCGTTTTATAATTATCAGCAGGCCGAAGCTAAAACGCTTTGTGAACCCATTCGCTCTGATGCAACCATTGTTAGGCTATAAAATAGCTGTCAAAAATTAACAAAACGCTTCAAGATATTCTGCGCAATACTACCACTTGATTAACTACGGACCGCTTTTAGTCATTCACAAAGGAAGTAATATCTCGAGCTTAAGCAGTGTACGTGCATTATTTTTTGGACCATTTAGTTCATCGCTTCTAATGCTTTTACGTGACCGGTAATGATCAAAATGATAAATCGACCGCGCTGGTATCTTCCGAATGACGATGATTCAAGACTTTTCGTCGATGTCCAACGGTTCGTTTCTCACAGAATATCCCTGTGGGCCCCATCAAAGCCGTTTAAGGCTATGACGGTCACACGTGTGATCTGTGAGGCTGACTTTAATGAGAACTATGTGGCATTAAGATATTCTTCATTGGCATGTAACCTGCTGAGCGGCAATCTGAAAGATGTGTCGCTCTTTTATCTACAAAATACGGTCGTCTTTATATACGATCTATTTACGATATTTACGGTCGTCTCATAATAACTGGTAATCTCAAGAACTAAAAGTAAGACGTTCTTGTGGAATGTACTTGAATAGAGCGCTGCCAATCGAATGTATAACACCAAGAATAAGCTATCGTATTTTTCCAGTGGATCTCTTTTTGTTATCCATAGATGCAGGTCAACATTCGTCACACGGTAATGTTCCCGTGCAGGGCAAAAATCTATGATGAAATGCTGAGTATCCAGAGCGCGACACAACTAATTGGCGGAGCGTTAACAAATAGAATTGCTCTAAATATATTTTGTTTAAACATACTTATGACCGTGAACTGTATCACACACATCGGTAGTAAATATATATATATATATATATATCAACAATGAGTTTTGTTATAGGCCACATAGGCTTGAAACGTTTTATGTATGAAAATTATGCCGTAAAGATATTCCTTCGCGTACTGTCGTGTTCTTTGCTCTAATGATCTTCTCTTAGGTAGAAATAGTGACACAATAAAATATCTTTGGGTGCCTCCAAGGAGGATATTCTCTTGAAGTTGCTTAGCGCTCAAATCTGAAGTATGTCTACGTGAGTCTGCCTTGCCCAGTCAGATCAAATTTGAATACACAGACATCTGATGTTAAGGCGGAAGAGGGCATTGTACTTTACCTGATTCAGCCTCCTCCATAAAAACAACGCTGTAGCAAAATCACAACATTCGGTCCCGACTGAAAGTATCTTGCATTATGCATTAACCACTGTATTGTATTATAGGCCCGAAGATCTTCCTTCTTTTTATGGCCTAGTCACATTTTCTACTATTCCGGGAATTCTATACGGCTTCAATAGCTAGACATATCTTAACACACAGCTAATGTTCTATGTAGTTGAGGTTTCTATCATAATCCCAAAATATATGTCGCTGGGTCAAGGCCCCCTTCTACCACTCGTTCTATATAGTATTGACGCATAGTATCGGAACGCAAGTAGCGTACCAATACGGAGCGTGGAGAGCGCACAAACTCATATTAACACCGAATGCACTCACAATGTAAATGATCTCATCAGTCACTTAATTTACGTTTGACTACTTCCCATATTTAACTTTCCCATTGTTAATAAACACCTCTCCAACAAATCGTATCCTGTGCGATTCCATAGCTACCTAGGTGTCTTACTATAAGAGGTTGCAAATTCTACACATCGAGAAGTTGAAGGAGAAGACCAAACGCGATCTTACGCACAAAATACTTGCTTGGCCAGCGCCATGAAAGACTGGCGAGAAATGGGCTTATGTGACTGGCTAAACAAAACCGTTGAAATCGCTGTACGGAGTAGGCAGCTAGGCACATTTTACGAAAGGGAAAAAGTTGGCAACTCTGGCAGCAAGCGGAGAAAGTGCAGTCTGCTTCTCTTCTTCGATTATTATTGCTGTCTTCTTTACGGGTCTGGGTTTCGATGCGCTGCTGGAAGACAGGCGAGAGAATAGCAATGTCCTTAAAGAATATCAGAACACTAGTAAACATCGACAGGCAAAATATCCAGATATAAGAGGGAAACCAGAAACAGTAGGAATTGGCTCAGCCGTTATATATAAATGTATGCGCTTCATGTATGATTATAAGAAGAATGTATTGTTACAAATAAAACATAATAATTCATGTTGTAAAAATAAATATATAGGTCTACTAATCCTTTTCAGTCTGAGGGAAGTGTATATAGAGAGCCGCCAGATATGTCAAAAGAGTCACTGGTGCAGACGCTCGCAAATATGCCAGTGGGCAATTCCGATGCCATGAATAACTCACCGCGACCAGAACGGGCATTCGACTGAAGCTGCCAGGGGGCGTAACACACAGTACAATTTAGCCGCGTCACAACTCTCGAGTCGACGATCAAGCATAAATCCGGGTCCCGTTTACATGCAGGTAGACCACGAAATAAAGAGAAAGACAGGGTTGTTTGGGACAAAAGCTATATAGCTTACTGCATTTTTTCTAACAATAGAACGTTGACCTCGAATATTACTACTATTTCAGAATCCTTTACATACACATGAGTCATACATTTAGTTTGATTCGCGTAATTTAATTTTTTTTAATAAAGTTTTAGAAGGCAGATAGCTAGATCCTTTTTTTTCTATGTAAAACTCTTTTTTTACTTCTAACACAGTTTCGCCTGTCCTAAAGGGCCACATTCAAAGGTTTTATGAAGGTCGTTATATATATGTACATATGTTACCGCGGAGCTATATAAGGTATTGCATTTCAAGTATAAATGAAACTATCTATTACATAGAGGAATTAAAAGGAATAAGTGGCCCCAGAGGACAACTCAATTTAGCAAAGATGTGTTTGTGTGTTTAACGTCGAGTGAAATTAAGGCATTGAAGTTTGCACGAAGTTCTTTCAGATACTAATGTCGTTTCTCGTAGCTGTAAAAATAAGTCGCAGGCGGATTTTTGGAGAGACATTTTGACGATTTGCATCCAGACAGAGCGGTATTGCTGACGTATGCATCACGTGGTGCAGATCATGAATCAGAACTTGCTCCGAGCAATTACTTATACGAAAATTATGCATAACTACAATAGTTATAGAGGATTCATTATGGTCAGGGTAGGCTCGGAAAACGTTGTTACCGTTTTTGAACAAAATGCAATTGGTCGATGTGTTAGTCACTGAGCATTTGTAAGCTCGGCTTCACGGAGCAGCAAAACCAAAATTGACGATAGGTGTTATTAAAAGCATCGTCCTTTTTAGCTAAAATATGTTAATTAAATAAAAAAAAATATATTCATTTAAAAAAACATAATAGTCTTCCCTTTGGCTTTGCTGAGTGACCTGTTCGTATGAAATTACTAAGGGGCCCATACGGCCCCTTTTCTGACCTCTACAACCCCAACCTATTAGGATATATAGTTTATCGACATAGGCGTTTTTAAATGCGATTTCCTCGAAAGTCAATGAATAGTAGTTAGCCTATGTAAGCCACCTAATAGATAATACTTCGATGAATATATTGGTATAACTGTTTCTCTCCAACCGCACCAGTTATTCTTATCGACAGCGTCAAGCAAATGTTAGTCCAAATGGCGCCATGCTTTTCTATACGTGACAGTAAACAGTAATGCACTACGTTATAAGACGTGACGATTTACAGGTCGCGAGATGAGAGCATCCCCGTAAAAGATCCTACCGAAAATATTATGAACGGAATAGATTACTTGGCGTCGTACGAATAAATAAGGTCTAAAATTTATGAGGCTAAAACGGGTGGCTGTTGTGCGCTATTTCTGCATGTAGTTTACATCGTTAGATGCCATTATGCGAGACTCCACTGCTGGTGATGGAACAGCAAGTCTGGCTAAGGCTGCAGGAAGCAGAGAGCATCATTACCTGATGGCGAACATATACGTTGAGCCCCCAAATACCGATGACCTCACTGTTTATATCGTCTCATACCTCTCCCTGATTTTTTTCCATTTTTGCCTAGAGTAGCAGTGTGAAAAGGGCCGAAAACGACATATGGCATGCGGAGCTTCACCCGCAGCCGGACGTGCTGGGCGCTGGGCTCATGGGGCGATCTAACCACTTTAGCTATTCGATGCAAACATTATCTTGCTTCTTTCGTTAGCTCTGTTCGTTATCCTGCTGTGCGTTGCGGTAATGCCCTTTGTATAATGGCGTCAATGATGACGTTAGTGCGAAGCTGCCTCTCGCCTTAACCATAGGTCATATGGGCTATTTAGATTCTAGGAGCAAGGTACCTACGGAATGCTAGCTGCGTTGGCAAGAGGCGGTTTTATAAGCCGAAGCAAAGGCTAAACTTGGAGAATGCGGTACACATTGTTTGCCACATCCTTCGTCGCCATGTTCCTACGTCGTCGATTTATCTTGATTTCGTTCACCCATATAGAAATACGAGAAGCTCTACAAAAGGCGCCGTATCCGCTGCCACTGTCTTCTTCGGCTACGATAGCTTGCTTAGGCCTGTTATAGAGTGTAGACAAAGGCTAGCATATTGACCGCAAATGGCGTCACTATTGCCAACATTTCCCTATTGGCTAAATGCTCCTTTTCACTATAGCCTTTCGCTTCATAGAATTGCTGATCCTAGCGTCGTCCAGTTGCGTGACCGTTTGTCCAGCACTAATTTCTTTGCATAGAGTAACCCGCTAGCAGGGTTCGATTCCATTTCGTTGCACGCTACTACTTTTCGGGACAGTTTATTCCAGCCTCGATCCGCTAACCTACCAGACTTCCAGTAGCAAAATTTCGCCCAACTATATTCTTTAAGTTGCGTCAAATCATAATTTTCTTTCGGCTTTCAGTGTTTTCACTCAGTCATTTTATTAACACTCAGAACTTAGACAGTCATTCAGAATACACTAGTACTTGAGAAAGAACCTGAAGCAATGTAGACTAATTGTGTTACGGTTAAGCTTTGTAGATACTTATATGCAATATTTATATGTATTTGCAATCATTTATGTAGCCACAAGGTAATTAGGATATTGTTAGAGAATGTGATTCATCTCTACGGACGTATGCATACATAATACAACGCCTCTGTTCAATGGAGCACGATTGTGCACGCTTGGATTAGAACTTGAAACCAGCTCACTAACACTTGACATTTTAACCCTATCTCCAAGAAAGTTACCGTTGCTTTTCATTGGACATTTTTCAGGACACAAGAATATATTGCATATACTTTTTTAGGGAAAAATAATCTTGTAGTTTCCAACGGGTATTCGAAATCCCATAAACGCAAGGGAAGCCGTTTAGAAAAAATTAGCAGTGGGATAAATGCTCTATAGAGAGACACTTCCGGCCTTTTTGTCCTGAATAATTAAGCATATTAGCAACATTGGTCTTGGTTAGTACAATACAATATTGGGATGAGATTGCAAGATGCATGTATTATACAACCATGATATTCAGAAGCGCACAACTTGAATTTGCTCTGGCCTTTTCTTTTTCTTATATCAGCATACAGGCCAATTGGTATTACTGAGCTACCAAAACCTTGCCTTTAGACTGGTTTTATTGAATTTTTCAGCTTTAAGGCTATGCGGCCTAAATACTAGCTGCTTGATCTTATTCTTTTTTGGTTCTGTTGTGCAATAGAATTTTCGACGCTATCACGATATTCTTTGATACCCTAATGTGTCCCTAGCGAACCTAACGTTTAACGGATCAGCACAGCATATCTTGCTCAACTCACTTCGAAAGATCGGCCTCCTGTTACTGTACAAACGGTCTCCCACCTCTGCATTCCTGACCAGTCACCTGATAATTACCAACAGGCAGAGATAGATTAATGGATACAGCAGGAACAACCAGTGAGATTGGCAGTCAATACATACGCCCTCTTTCGTACAAAATAGGACAAACGTTGTTTTCGGCTTTTCTGCTCACTGTTCATATCTTGTCGATCGCGCAGGTCGACCATTCAGTGTGATGAATAATTGTTCTACAACGGCAACGACGACAAACACATCGACGTCTGCCCACAATAGCGTACAGACTGATCAGAGCAGGCAATGACTGTGCCACATGTGCAGTTGTAGTTGAGACAGATCTGCTAGTGGCAATGCATGAGGCCGGCAGGGGGGTCGGATGACGGGCCTAAACAAATCAAACGGTAACACAATGGATCGTCCATGGCCCACACACCGTTATTATTATTACTGCGGCACACATTATTGCGGCGACGATCGCGGACGCTGCGATGCATCCTGAAGACGATGGTGAACAAAAAAAACGGCGCCGCCTAAACCGAAGAGAGTCTCGAAATATCGCTCAAGCAGCTGGGCGAGCGTGGAAATGTACCGCCGGCGCGTTTATATAGCAACAAACACCCGTTCGAAAAGAACATGGATAAACAATCGATAAAAGAAGACAAGCGTGGAGTGGCAATGGGTTGGGCAAGCGAATGAACTCGAAGCGCCGTCGTAATAAGAGGCAATCCGTGAACTTTTCTGGGTTGCTGCCCTGGAAAAGCGAGTTGGTGCTCTCTGCTAACAGGGAAGAAGAAACAGACAGGGCAACGCCCAAAAGCCGATAAATATATTAATGGATTGCGATCCCTAGATGAATAGAGGACTAAATAATAGGTTAGATGGTACGTTTTG